GATAGTTCGGTTTTGAGCCTGTCTTATTTTGATACAGGGGTACTCAGCCTACGCAACGTCCGTATGACATCAAGTACAGCGCTACGACATGCCTACCTCGCGCTTCATCTTGTAGAAAAACGGGGCAGCCTCTACACATCTTCATTTTGTGGCAGCTTGGGTTTTAAGGAATACTTTGGGCCACTTGGGGTAAAGAGGCAGGTTTTGGCCTGGTTACTTTCTAATGGCTATTTTAAATTTCCACATTCTTTTTTATCTTGTACAGCTCTTTCAGGGACCCCCAAAACGACAGACATTGCCAGGTATTCACACCCAAGCGATTTTAATAATTAAAAAAAACATTGATTTCACAAGTAAACTGGATATGACAATCAATCACTTTGACCTGATATATGTTTGTTAACAAACCCATCACAAATTAAATTCAGAAATCATCTTGCTTCCTTTCAGTGCCACCAAAGGAGATTTAAAACAAATACATGCCTATGATGATAGCAATATGCTCCATCTCTGAACCCTGTTTAATTCCGTGAGCTTAAGCATCTTAGATCGTTTACGGCGAACCTGCAGTATGTATAGAAGTTCAGGAGCGGCAGCCGTCTAACGATCTGCGGATCATTCATAATATTAAGATTCACAGAAATTGCTGACTACTTGGGGCTGTGGGAGTTGTTTAACGTTGTCTGATACATCCCATCAGCCGAATCAGAGACACCCGAGAAATGTTGTTTTCCATGGTGACTCAGTTATCCTATTACAGTAATTTCAGTCACAATATGTGAAAGTTTCTCGATGAAGCAGATGTAGAGTAGAGGAAAGATAGAGGTGACTATGACACAGTCGACAACAAGAAAAAACGGAATGGCATGTCGAAGGAGCGAAAAAGAAGAATTATGTTCAGGTGTATTTATATTTCCACCACGGCAGACAGAACATATCACAGGCTCAGTTTTAACTGTTTCCACTAAGAATAACCATCTTCTTAACACCGATCATCAGCCTTGTCATATCATTTCTGTAATAATGACTGTCTGAAATAATCATACAATGATTGAAGATGTGTGTGTGTGTAGTAAGACATCTGATAGAGAGTTGAATAATTTAGAACAATAAGGTAACAAAAGGCAGGATAAAAGTAAAATAGGTGTTCTTGAACATACAGTTGCAGTACAACACCACATGTAAGGACGTTAGAATTATATAAAAGTCAGCGTTAAACTTGCCAGTACATCCAACAATAATACAAGCCAAGCTATCTAGACTGGGCAAGCCAGCATGACATCCTGTTTATCGACATGTGATAGTAATACCTTACTCCATGGCCTCTCCTCAAATGAAGGGAACTGATACAAGGACTGCATAAAAAAAATGTATCCAGTAACAGGACCCACAGAAAAACTTTGTGGCATGTATAGGACGCAACATAAAAGGCTAACTCTCGACAACCAATCACCAATAAGACTGTGTTGATAAGCAATAAGTGGAGAGTACTGAGCCTCGAAGATACCAATAAAGACTTGTTAGATCAAATTAAATAAGTATATATGAAATTTTTAATCAATCATATAGAACACCATTCTAATAATAATTCCAAGAATCTAACTTGAAAAAACAAACCCATTATTCTATCATAATAGAGAGATATTAAACATGTGCATTTTAAACAGGTGCTATGTTTCAGACACAAGCACTTCCCACGCAACAGCACAGAACCAACTTCACAAACAGCGAGCTCGGATTCAACCAAGCCTACAAATCCTACATCACACACCATGTCAGCCTAGCTCTCAGCTCTTAAACATCGTATATATGTGTTGTGTCACAGAAAGAATACACAATCTATGCAACTAGATTTTCTCTCATTCGGTCTGCCTCCAGCAAGGTCGGCATTAGATTACAGTTCACGCTCTTCAACCATTCCCGCCATGACTCATGGAAACAACCACGTTTAACCTATAACTCTCGTTTTTCCGTCCATCAAAAAGCACCCAAACTGGGAACGCGACAGATAGCGAAACACCATGAATGGCCCACGCTCAAGCATCTTGCTCTCTCTTTCAACAGACCTTTCACAATTTCCAAGAATGTACGAGTAACAAATTCTTATTGACATGTCCAATAGGACAGATAATGGTCCTCCTGCATAACTATAACCTTTCCTAAAGAAGACCAAAAGACATATACACAAATCTTTGAGAACCCTGGTGTTGTGTAGACCTATTAATGCCAACTACCTGTTGTTTACATACATGTAAGTTGGGACTGATAATTAAAACCACTATATTACCGGTGAGGATAGTAACAACGTGTAAAGCACTCGGCTTCTCAGAGTTCTTAGGTCAAACTAGAAGATAATTTTGTGCAAAATATGATGTCTTATTAAACTACTAAAATTTACGACTTGCTGTTACTAGCATGGACTCATACGGAGCGTGTTTGGGTGGGAATATAGCAGCCCGTCACCTATTACGCAGCTAACTGTAACCGCGCTTGTGGGAAACTCTCTTCGTGAAGTCGGTCATAGCATTCTCGACTACCCGCTAGTCTCACTCCCACGTAGCATTTTCCTCATCTTCCAAGCGCCACGAGGTTATCACTACACAAAGAAAAAAGGGAGAAATTTGGAGAAACACGTGGACAGTGGAGAGGACGAGCGCGGGAAGCAGGTAAGGACAGGGACCAGCATCACTCACTACTCAAATCAATACGTCTGTTACACACGCCTTCAAACCTTGGATCCAGTTCTTCTAGCTTGGCGAGAAGATTTCTCACGGCGTCAAGTCCAGCGATAAACTACGATTGATCACCACCCATTTGGAAACACAACTTTTCTTTCCCCAAAATGCATCCGGAATAAGTGTATTATATACCCAGACGAATCCACGTTTCACCAAACTTTCTCTAACTCTGACAAAATAAAAAACAAGAATGATACACATCCTAAAGTAGCGTACAAGTGGTTAAATCTTTACATAATAAAATATTAGGACAAAAATTTAACCAATTTACAAACTCATTTATAAGTGGCTAGTATCCACTATGATATGTCTGGTAGTATAACGTAGAAACAATTAATAACTTGAGGAATTGGTACTATATCCCCTATTCTCGCGGCTGATATCTCAGTAGTATCTCCTCAGTTTTGTCTTTTGTTCGAAATAAGCTAATTCTTGTCAGACATAGAGTTTAGTTTTCTACTCTGGAACACACCAGCCATGATATTAGTTAATACTATGGCATGAGTGGCGATACTATCCTCATCGGGAAATAAGTAGACAAATGATTAGATAGATAATTCCATCACGTAGGGGCGCATTTAGGCAGAATGGAGAGAGGAGTTTTTTCGAATTTGGATGTCCCTGAAGATGTATAGTATGATGTGACCGTCCAAAACAAAATACACTCTGTACGTACAAACACCACCACCACTATTAAGACAAATGATCATTTTCTGCCTAGGGCACTTTATTTATGAAAAACACAACAGTGTACAAAACAAGTGTTCAGACAATGTTGGGTGGAGCAACATACACTATACAGAATTCCTGACAATGTAGATTTCTGGTATTTAAGAACTGCGAGATTACATTAGAAACTCACAATACAACTGATAATACTTTCCCTTTATTAAAGCCATCAACGCGAGAGTAAGTTCATACATGTCACAAATGTTATACCTCCAGATTAAGAACACCATCGACATCATGATCTAGACGTACATTAACTGACCTTGCTCTGCGGCACAAGAAGAGCAAAAAAACAGGTACCTACCAATTAATCATACCTTGAGTTTTGGATTTTCTTAAAGTCCTAACAAAGGTCTAGCATTACACATACCAATACAGTATATTCGAGTCATCAACAGAGAGTATCCCTCTCCATATTTTACCACGAATCATTGGCGACCGCACACATCCCTGTCCATTCAGGAACAAATGTTGCATAGACGTCTAGCTGGGTTTGGAACCGGATATCGGGCTGGGACTTTGGTGTCGCCATCTGCGTATAATGGAAATGTGACAGGACCAGGAGGTCAGGAATCGCATTTTACAAGGAGTAATCTTGTTCCACAGGGCAGCAAGCTGTATCTAAACTTCTCTCATTATTAGGCCCGCACTTGCGTCTGCGGCATTTCACAAGATGCTTGCTATCCGATTTTTTAGATTCTTTTCGATTAAAACCTCCTTTCATTGTCCCTTATTCAAAAGCAACAAAGCAAGATTAAAATTGGCCCACATAACAACTGTCAAAAGACTATAGCGCGAGAGGGCACAACATCATTACATACAGATGTTATAAATCAATCGCAGACTTCACTCGCGATGTGTCATGTACTACGACCACAGCGTCTTAGGCTTCTCGTCTACACACAAGACATCAGTGAGAACGACAAGAGAGCGAGTACCACAGCGTCCAGTCTTATTGCCTCAGAGAGCGCGAGAGTATACACTACGACCCATAGTGACACACGAAAAGCGAGATCGGTCACAAGAAAGCACGCAGCACAACCAACACACCTCATCCGATCGAGACCAAATAGTTCGATCGAGCTTTCGGCTTGACTTGAGGACTGCCCCTTCACTACCCACAGGTACCGAGAGATTCCGGGAGTTATGAAAATGACCAGCCAGTTCCGTGAAAGAACAGATACATTATTGCCGATCAGCCGTCAAGGCGGATAGAACCCTTAGAGATAAGTACGATGCAGATCCATGACTCTACATCAAACAAACATGTTAAGAGACCCAACTCCCTCAAAACTAAGAGAATGGTTTGTAGTTGGGAACGCGAACCCACGCCACCCGTATAGCAACCCAACCCTCCTTAGTCTCCTCCTTCACCTACCTGTCGGCTGCCTCTCACGTCTCTATCTCTATATCTCTAACATTGTCCGTATCCTCATCCCAATGTCATTTTCTATCCCCATTCAGATTAACCAAGAGGGCATGGCCTATGTGCACCCGATTAATGAGTCGTTACATCCAAGCATACCAGCGAAGACCAGCGCAACCCGGGAGGGGGAGTTACATGCCCCGTACCCTGGGGAGAGAAGTAATAAGACAATCTTACAGTTACGGGACAGACAGAGAGAGGCAACCGCAGCAGGGGTCCATCCGGCAATTCTAAGTCCAGGCTACGACGTTCTTCAACTTTCCTGCCCTATCTCTGTTAGAATAGTCCCCGACAAAGGGATGATACTCTGGAGCCTCTGTTAATCTCCCAGCCACGACACCGCCCACCCGTAAGGTGCCATGTAGCGACCCCTAGTTCTGATACGCCAAGTGTTCCTTTCCCAACAGTAGCATATCCCTGCACCTATCCACCCATGCCAGATACCGGTAGGACGATGGCGCCACTCAGTTACGTTTACCTGGCATCTATATGCTGTATGTATGTCTATGGATGTGATGTGATGTGTGTGTGTGTTGTGATACATACATACATACACATATAGATGCAGGTAAACAATGAGACACACTCACCTCTGCAGGATGCTGCACTACGTACAGACAGGTGGACACCTCCAGGGGTTGTGGTGGGAGAAAAGGACAGAGACACACCTTCTGAGGGCGACTACATGGGAGGAAAGTTGAAGACGTGAAGCTGTGATTGCCCCCCCCCCCCCCTCTAAAGTTACCTTCCCATCCTAACCCCCCCTCTGGTCTTCAGCTTGTTCTGTAACGACACAAATCTGCAAAGCATGCCAGTAACTCGAGGAGAAAAAGAAGAGGAGGAAGAAGAAGAAGGGAGGAGGAGGAGGAGGAGGAAGGGGGGAGTCCAACCAACCAACTCTAACTTGGCTACCTAGCATTTAGCTTCACTTTAATTCAGCTCACCGGCACCGTAAACACGTCGGTCTTCTCTCCCCGACCTCGACCGGGAGGGCAGCCAGGTCGCCGAAAGCGTCGACTAATCCGTCTTCCACGGAGGGGCCGTCGCGGGTTTCTGCACCGTTTTCCTCGGTAGTGACCGGCGAGCAAAAACCGGGGACATTGTCCATCGCGCGGTTAGCGAGGAGCTAACTTATCCGAGTCAAACACAGCGCGGAGGGTTTTATTGTTTTCATTACCGCCCCCTGCTGCACAGTGTGGGGCGGTGCTTTTACTCATTATTTACTTTGTGGTGCTTTTAATGAACTAAAAGACATTGCACATAAGTTAAAATACATAGACTCAATAGGAAACAACACATTACAATATATATTATATATATTTATCTACAATACACAACAATTAAACATTAAAAGCAGTTTTAAAGAGGTGGATGTAACCAAAAAACAACAACAAAATAACTCAATTCTGTCTATTATTTATGTTATTCTTAAATAATTAAGTAAAAGTACTACTTACTATTTTTTAAGTAGAAGCGCTTCTTTTTTTTGGTTTTAAGGCGGGCTACAAACCAATGTTCAAGGTACAGTGTGGAGTGTGTCAGATCATGACTTTATAGTGGAATTATATTCTGTAAATTAAACCTGTTTCATGTAAGTATTTAAATAAAAGATAATCCACCACCTTCCTGCAGTCTTTCCTCTCCCTTATTGAACCTTCTACAAGGCATCAGCACAACAACAGTCTCTGTACAATTAATTAATTAATTTATGTAGTGTTTAATCCTTTATGTCCTAATCTTAACCGTGATAATGTTCATTTGATAACATATTTGTCAGTATTTTGATTTTAATAATTATTTATTTGGGAAAATATATCTTTATTATGACAGTTTCAGTTATTTATGTCATAAATATCTACTTACATGCACACAAATATTTATTCGAGCATCCTTTGCACTATTTCCTACTGTCTACAAATGTTATTGTTGTTGTTTATTTTTATATATGTGTGTATATTTACATATATAACTGTACATAGTAGTTTATATCTATTTTGTTTAGCCTGTTTTCATAAGGGTGACGTAAAACAAGAGTCAAATTCCTTGTACGTGTACATACCTGGCCAATAAAACTGATTTATGATTCTGATTAATTGTCACATCCACTCTACCTGCTGTATTTCTATGACTTGTTTTGGTAAATTAATCATAAACTATCAACTTAGAGCTGCCACCTGTCGATGTGGAGGGGAAAAAAAGGAAAATGCTCATTTGTAACACTGTGTGTCGCCAAAGCCCTTGTTTACCCTGCTGATAACAGGTCCAACAGGATGTACAGAAGCCGTTTAAACACAACCATTACTCTGCAAAACAATAACACCAATCTGTTCTGCACCTCTTACTTCTCTTTATATCTTATTCATACCACATTTTTATTCATGGCGTGTATTTTAAATCTCCTCCTCAAGGTCAGCAGGCACGGGATCAATGCTGAGCTCCAGATGGGACCATTGGATTCAGGCCTAGAAGCGACAGTATGCTTAGCAAATGATGCTTTACATAAATCTGCTTTAATGGCCACATGTGTAGTGTAAATACTGCACTGTTCAGGTCTAAAAACAGCCCCTTGTTATTGCCATAAACCACTGTTTTGCCTGATATTTGGTGCAAAGTACACATATTTTAATTTAGCATAAATTGTAGTTATGTCGGTTTTGGAAAACTTAACTTTGGAAGAATTAGACATAAAATTAGTCTGTACTTGTGTGAATAATATGCACGTACTGCACACTTTTGGCTGTTTACAAGAGGGTACACAGACTCCTAGTTGAGACGAGGTGTCAGGTTAACAGCCGAGAGAGGCTTATTTATAGCTGAAGATCCACCCTAACGTCACACAAATACTGACACATACGCTTTCACCCGTTTTATTCACACTCGTGACCCAAACCTCTCCTTTCAAACACGGCTATGATTCATGCACTATTGCCACCCTGTCTGCACACGGAGATACTGGGTCAACCTGTAAAAACAAAAAGGAAAACAAACACCCTCCTCTGGATGTGATTTGAATTCATGCAGTACAGGCAGGTACAAATGGGTACAAATTATAAAAACTAGACTGAGATGAACAATATTTTTGAACTCTTTTAGATTGCATCTCAGTTGATTGTCGTCTAATTCTACTGTGATTTTAAGACCTTGAATAGGGACACATCAGCAACCTAACTGAGTCAGTTAAAGTATTACACAATGTCCTTTGTCTTTAGGTTGTTCAGCTGGTGAGACAGTCGAACTATCTGCTTGTTTCTCTGGAGAAACCTCCGTTTTAGCCGATTCTGACGACTTAACATCCGCCTCTTCTGGTTCAGTTTGTCTAGCAGCAGCTTCCGTCTCACTCGTTTCCTCTTCGTGTGCCGTTTTAGTGTCTTTCTCCTCGTCTTCAGCCGGTTTTGTGTTTGTGACGTCGCTATCTGTCACACTTTCAGTCAGTGAGGACTCCACTGCAGCCAGCACACTCTCGGTCAGAGCAACGCCGCAGGAGGACTGCATCGTTTCCTCTCCGTCTCCGTCTCCCTCGTCTGCGGGTTCTGCTGGTGATGCTGTCTCTTTCTCCTCCTCCCTCTGTTCCTTCACACCGGCCTCCTCTTCTTTTTCCTGTAGGTCAACTGGAGTCAGAGGTGTTAGGTCCAGGCATGCCTTCAGAGAGGATGCTGCCTTCTTCCTGGGAGGGGCAACTGGTTTTTGCACTTCCACATCTTTCCACAATTTCTGATTTGCGTGCTCGTGTTTCTCGTCCGGAGCTGTAGGGTGATCATCTGTACTTTCCCAGTCTGGTTCCTCTGAGGGAAACTCGAAGCTGGAGATGCTAAGTGGATCCACTGGGATTTCTGCGACTTTTTCAACCTTGATGGAGACATTTTTGCTCGTCTTGTCTTTACTCTTCACAGTTGCTTGGGGTTCCTCCTCCTCGAGCGATCGAGCGAAAGGCTCTATGTCACACGGAGAAGAATTGCCGCTGGACCTCAAGAAGTCTGTGATTTCCTCCTCTGAATTTGGCACCTCACCTTTTTCGGGCTTGGACAAATCAGCAAAATCGTACAAATCTTCGGACAACACCCAAGGACCTTCCTCTGTGCATTTTCCTTCGTCGATTGGTTCAACTTCCACCGCAGGAGTCTCGTCTATGAGGACATATTTCTCCAAATATCCCCTGGCCTCCCGGTCTGAATGCCGGCTGTGGAAGGACTTCTCGGAGGTCATGCTTTCCGTATCCTCTTCTTTTTTCCGACTGCCGGTTGCTTCCTCATACAGGTCCGTGTAAAGGAAGGCCATGGCTTTCGGCTCCTCCAGCAAAATGGGGTCGATAATTTTGGAAGGTCCTTCTGGCAGAAAGATGGGAGTCAAGATTTCCTCTTGGCTTCCAAACAAAGTCGAGCCACTCGGTTTTGAAGGCAGCCTCGACGGCGCTCTTCCAGCCGCTTCGTCCTCCCTGTCTAGACTTTTCAAGTAGTTGTCCGTACCACCGTAGAAGACCTCGTCTAGAAGTTCACTGGTGATTTCCTCTAGGCTGATTGTGTCTGACTTGTCGGTATCTACAGTTGTTGTTGTTGTTGTTGGGGTGTCTTTAGGCTGCACAGGTTTCTCTGTGTCCTGGCTCTCAGCGGCAACCTCTCCTTCCTGTTCCACCACTCCCTGTGCGACCACTGCAGGACTTCCTGGAGCCTGGGCATCAATCATGGTGAACGCCTCAAAGTAGTCCACATTGCCAGCTGCTCCTCTGCCCGGAGGTCTGGCCACTGGAGCCCCCGGTGGATCCATTACGCCTGAAACTGAGGGCCTGACCTCGTCACCTCCTGGTGCATACAATTCCATCGATGAGTTCACAAGCTCGTAATCTTGCGTCTCTTCGCTGGCTTTAGGGACAAGGCTCTCCTCCAGATAAGAAAGGTTGTCCACCATTTCTTTGCTCTCCTCTTCGTCCACAGTTACCAGTTTTGGGGGAACGATAATGTTGAGGATTTCAGAGCCTTCAGACACTAACCTGAACAGCCTTTGCTCTTTATCCCCCAGAGGATCATTCGCTTCATCTTCGTCTCCTTCTCCTTCGGTTTTCACATTCGGCTGTGAGAATCCCACTAACTCCGGCCTCCCGGAGATGTTTTCAGAACTCTGTAGGAGAGCTTCTCGCTGTCTGTCCGCCTTGATCTTCTGACTGCTCAGCCTCTCTTTCTTCCTTCTGGAAATCAGCTCCTCGTCCATGACAAAGATAATCTTTCCTGCTGGAACAGACCCAGGTGTTGCAGGCCGTGCTGCAACCGGAGAGCTGAGATCCACGGCGGAGTTCCCCGCCTCAGATGCCCACGGCGTGTTGCAGCGACTAGGGGTCGTCTCCCACGCGATCCCGCTGTCCTCGCCTTGCATAGTGACCATGGAGAAGGAGGAGTCCATCATCAGGCACTGCATCTTAGGCCGGACGTTTACATCGTGGACGGCCTCGCGTAAACTGAAGGGAAACAATATGGCAGTGAGATACAAAATCTATTTAGATTCCAGTCCTCAGATGTATATTTGTGTTTTTATATTCTTATCCTAAACTTTATTTATACAAGTCTGATTCAGACAAACCTCAACTAATTGCACAACAGGAATATTGAATATCAAATGTGGTTTATTGAACTAACATTTACATTTTTATTGAACTTATTATAGTATGAATACTTTAGGAATTATGCATGACTGATGCATGCCATTTTTAAAAAAAGTCTGAATAATATTCTTATGATTATCGCGATAATGTCGTGTATCGCGGTTATTTTGGCCAAGATAATCGTGACATGCAGTGTTCATAATGTCACATACCTAACTGCAAGACTGTTGGTTGCATTATTAGCTACAAAGACACTCATAAACACACAGGCACTAACTGAATTCCCTCCATTAATTCACCATTAAATGTGGAAATGGATTCAATCTATTATTGTAAAATAATGCTGCCTCTGAGTGACTTGTTAGAAATTAAAAACACCGGCTCAACAACTTAGTTTCCCCGACTTTTAATGAAAACCACAAAGCGAACATCATTACACAGAAACACATCCAGCTACTGATTCCAACCTGTTCCTGAGGTGCTCCACTTCATCGCTGGCATCAAGGTTTTGCTCAGGAACATCTTCAGATGTCAACGCCGTCATCTCGGTGTCCACGTCTGACCGTGCCAAACCTTCGCTCGCAGTATCCATTGTTGTAATATCTGGATGAATTTTGCTTTAGCCCTCTCGCCACGACCCAGCGCTGCTCTGTTGATCACATTCTAAGCAAGCAGACTTGACTTGAGTTTTCATGCTCAGCGTAATCTTGAAATAGAAAACTGGTCTTCCAGTGTTTCATGTGAAGCATTTGCAACATGTAGGAGGTTATTTTGTCATCTGTTCACACTGGCTGAGCCCTTGCGTTTTGGCATATACAATAAATAAGTTCATTAGTTGTATAGCTTGTGACCACTTTGAACTGTAAAAAAAAAAAAATGCTGCAACATGAAGTTAATGCAGCTATTTTTTTTTCTTGCCAGGTCTAAATATAATTTATTTTACTGGCTGCCTATATCCAGTGTCATGAGTCTGTCTGTCAGAGGCAGATAAGAAAGTTCAATATGTTCAGTTTTGTTTTTAGTTGTGTGCACACAACTGATCAGGGATCAAACAAATCCTGTATTGAGCTTTAACATTTGACCCTGAACTGGTGAAAACACAACAAATAATGATAAGATATTTATGGTTTGTTATTGTGCTGCTTTAATCTGTAAAAAAAATAATAAAATCTGCATAATTGTTGGTAAAAATCTTGACTCTTGATCCACACTTCCATTAAAATGTCAACCTCGCAGCTGTTTATGTCCGTCTCGTGGCAGCGTGACGGAGATACTAACACGGGAAACGACTGGAGGAGTTGGGGAGGTTAACAGGTCGTATCTGGGCAAACATTGTCCTCGTAAACCAGCCTTCAAATCATAAACATGCCCAAACACAACAAATGTAGATTAAAATGTTCTTTGTGTCTTAATGGAACAAAGTTCTTCCATATTTAACATTATAGTGAACCAGCAGTGAATAGTAAACAAAGACGACAATATTAAACAGAGAAAAGAGAGTATTCTTCATATCTGAGAGGCTAAAACAGCAATTTCTGACTTAAATGATTAACTGATTATTAATATAGTTGCTGATTAACTGTTAAAAACAATGTGGGAAGAAAAATTTTGATCCTTTACCTAAAAATACTAAACTGTGGAAGTCCCTTAAAGTATGAAAAGTAAAAGTACTTATTTTACAGTAAAATGCTGTTTTATATTATATTTGATGTTTTTTTTAGATGTGTATGTTTCATTTTACTGCTGTTGATGTCATTTTAAGTACATTTAATCTAGTATTTTACTTTAATTTACTTACTTTTTAACTATTTGTTTTTACTCCATTACATGTATTTTGACTGTTTCAGTTACTAGTTTCTTTACAGATTTTAATAATATAAAATTGATTTATATAATATAATATAATAACCCAGCAGTAGCCTATATGTAAAGTAGTTAAATTAGTTTCGCCTCTACCATTGATTAACATAATAATTAATCAGTAATTATAATTCAGTAATATAATAACACATTATTTTAAAATGAGCCATTTTGTATAATGAGTACTTTTAGTTTTGGTAGATTTTACACATAAAACATGATCAGTTTATAAAATATTATGAATTGTAACAGATTAGTCTCACAAAAGTATAGTTAAATAGTTAGTTTCCATTAATATTATTGTAATATTATGATACTTAAAGTACATTTTGGTGCTAATAATTTTGTACTTTTGCTTTTAATAAAGTATTTGTACTCATTGTTACTTTTATTAAAGGATGTGTACACTTCAGTGCTGACTATATCAATAACTGTCCACAAGATGGCAATCACCAGTAGCATATAATGTTTACCTGTATGTTATATTTATGTACTCTTGTGTTCTTTTTGTATGTTTTGAATGAAAAAGAACGACTGAATCGAACACCTGAGCAGTAAATCTGTTGTCCTTTATGATATTAAAGTGGGACCGGATCACAAAATAAGTTCAAACTCGCTCATTTACCCAAATGGTGTAGCCTTAATAACATCTTTGAATCTATATGTTTGGACATTTGGCTCCTTGTTATAGTCTCTCATCCATAGATTAATTATTATTTCATTCTTGCATCTATTCTGTTTTTCTATGGAAGCCAACGTGATAGAAAAAAAGATTCTGTAAGTCATTATAATGTGAAACTTTCTCAAATATTAACTTAGCATCTTAAAATATTGAATTAGCATCTTAAAATATTGAATTAGCATCTCAAATTATTGATTTAGCATCTCAAAATATTTGCATAACATTTAAAAATAATGACTTAGCAACTCAAAATATTAACTTAGCATATAAAATTATTAACTTAGCATATAAAAATATTGATTTAGCATCTCAAAATATTGATTTAGCATCTCAAATTATTGATTTAGCATCTCAAATTATTGATTTAGCATCTCAAAATATTGATTTAGCATCTTAAAATATTAAATTACCATCTCAAATTATTGATATAGCAT